CCGGGGCTTGTATCTTACCCCCTTCGCAAGGCGCTGGGTTCTTGCAGGTGTGGATGTGTTCTGGATGTTGTCCTGTGTCCTGTGGTCTCTATTTTAGGAAGATTTTTCTTTGTTATATTTTCATAGCTCTATGTGTTTTTGGGAGGAGATTTCCACTGCTCTACTCACGCCGCCATCCTGGCTCCCTCTACAGATCATTTTTAAACAGCAACTTTGTAATTTCCTTATATATGTCTATGAATGTCCAATATCTTGTTTGATAGTTCTAAACTGAAAAATCACATGATCACTATTTGTAAAATGATTCTTCTATTTCATAAATTAGTTCTCCTCTATTCAGTCAAAATTAACCTCAGATGAGTTCCTTTCAAAGCTTTTGTGAAGGTAAATTGTCAGTAAATCAAAAGCATGCAAGACACTCTGCTTTCAGTGAAATAAGAAATCCAACAAAAGTCTTTTATGTTAACCCACAGTTATCATCTTTGATACTCCATATTACTTTATATAGATGCAGATTCCATCTGGTAACATTTTCCTCTGCCTGGAGGACTTTCTTTAATCTTTCTTATACTGCTAGTCTTTGCGGGATAAATATTTCAGCTTTTTGAAAAGGTCTTCATCTAGTTTCCCTTGTTGAAAAATATTTTAGCCTGCTATATAGAATTATAGAGTGACAACTGTTCTCTTTCCACACTTAAAAGGTTGTCACACTGCTGTCTTCTGATGTGTATCATTTCCAACAAGAAATATACTGTCATTTCTAACTTCATTTCTCATAGTGTTATATATCCTTTTTCTCCAACTGCTTTTGAGAAATTTTTTCTTTTTTAACCATTTTAATCAACTGGATGATAATGTGCTTTGGCATAGTGTCCTTGATGTCTTTTTGCTGTGGGCTTTTTGAGCTCCATGGATATTTGGATTTCTAGTTCTCATCAAAGTTTGGAAATTTTCTCCCATTATTTCTTAAAATATTTTTTATGCCCCATACTCTTTTTCTTCAGGGACTCTAACTGCACATATATTAAGCCATTTCAAATTTTCCCATAGTTCTCTGATACTTTATTTTCTCCTTTGTTCATTTTTACTGTGCTTCATTTCATATAGTTTCTATTAGTGTCTTCAGGTTCACTAATCTTTTCTTCTGAACTGTTTAACTTGCTGTTAATGATAATGTGCTTTTTTTCAAGTGTTACACTTACCATTTCTAGACCTTCAATCTGTCTTTTTATTTGTGCCATTTCTCCGCTTAATATGATCAAAGTTTCTTCTACCTTCTTGAACATGTGGAATACAATTATAATAACTATTTAATATCCTTATTGACTAATTCTATCATCTATGTAATTTTGGGGTCTCTTTCTACTGCTTGTTGTTTTTTCCCATTATGGGTAGTATTTTCCTGCCTCTTTGCATACCTAGTATTTTTTTTTATTGGAAGCCACACTCTGTGAATTTTACCTTTTGGGATATTTTTTAATTCCTAAGAATAGTCTTGAGTTTTGTTTTGGGATGCAGAAGTTCAGTGAGACAAAAATATATATATGAAAGATGAAACTATTGGAGAACAAAGAAACTGTCATTCACAAAGAAATTGTGCTTGAGGAAAATTTTTTAAGTTAACAGAATTAATCATTTAATTTAGTAAGAAGTATGGATCATTGATAAAGTAGATCTTTAATAAAGACTTATATATATCTTTACGCCAATAATAGAAAGCCAAACCATAAAAATATTTAATAGGTACCATTTACAATAGAATTATAAAACATCAAATACCAAGGAAAAGTCTAATAAAGGTATTTAAGGCTTCTACACAAAAATTATGGAGAAGACCTAAATTTACTCTCAGAAATAGAATAATCTTAAAATGAAGATAAGCATTTAAAGAAATACATGAGATCCTTAATAAAGAAATAGATTCATTAAAAATAAATAAATTGTAAACATAGCTATGCATGAAAGTAAATTTTGTTCTTATGCCATAAGTTATAAATAATGTCAATAATGACAGTATGCTTATAATAATGAGGTATATGTATCACATTTAATTTTTTTAAACCTGAAGTCTTGATATTAGATATAAAGTATATGATTTTGGTATTCACATATTACCTGATAATCAGCAGGCCCAGGAGTAGTAAAAGCTTCTTTCTGGACCAGAAACAAAGTTCAAGGAACAGAAGAACCAAATGCACTTTTCTTTTGTTTGTTCAAGCAGGTATTGCTGAAGTTGTCAATTATAGTATTATTTGAGATATTATAAAACCCAGGACCTAAAATCATGAAAAATATCATATGTAAAAATAAACATGTTTTTAATTCTTTTAGGTGAAACAACTATAAATTAAATAATTAGAAAGAATTCTCATTTATTACTTGTAGGAATTCATTAGCCTGCCAATGGTAGGCCATTTTGAAAGACAATTAATCAAATTCTTATAAAGTTAAATATACACTTACCATACGACCCAGAAATTCTACTCCTAGGTATTTTTGCCAAGAGAAATTAAAACAACCCAATGTCTACCAGCTGGTGAACAGATAAACAAACCATGCTATACCTAAACAGTGGAATACTACTCAGCAATAAAAAGAAAACCTAAATGTAACAATGAGCTTTTACATGCTAAGTAAAAGAAGACATCTACTGGTAATGTTTAGGAACAAGGTAAACAGGTAGTATAATAAAAACTATTTGGGCCACCATTTAAGGTACTTAAAAGACAAGTATCTCAGATCTGTCTCTTCACACATAAGAGGACCACATAGCACACTACAGGTGAGTGCAAGTACTTAAATACAGGGACCTCAGGGTGTGTACATCTCAGGTACTATTTTGTTAAACTTCTGATTTAAAAATCTATCCTGATCATATAATTCACTCACATTAGAGGTTTTCTATATTCACTTTCCAGCCTTTAAATGTGGAAATGCCCAGGATAGACAGTTTAGGGGTGCCTTCTAATGGTAACATGCAACAGCTCTGAGCCATATAGTAGGTGGTCAAATCTGGTCTGTGACTGACTCGTGGGTGAGTTCATTACTGCACCCTAAGAGTACATGAAAAAAAAAGGCAAAGTTCCATAAAGGTCATTCTCACTAAGTCTTAATGTATGTAAGACTGAGATTCTATATTAGAGATCATCATAATTGAACTTCATCCTTTACAAATTAACTAACCTTTGGGGAATTTGTAATACTGTATCCTAATTCAGTGGACCACTAAATTGAAAATAAGACCCAACCCTAAGGCAGTTAGGTCACTCAATAAATTGACATTTAGAAATTATTTTGATTTCAGATTCATGGTAAACACTGCCAAGCTAGGCTCAACTGGGAGAGTAACCAGCACCTACACAATGACCTCTCCAGAATGGCAACCTAATAATGGTCAGACTTCTATATAGAGGCTCAGGCCTCTAAGACTAATTGTTCTGCAGGCTCAGAAGTATGCTGTAAAGCATATGACTTTGCCTGAGAAGTACTAGACTATCACTTCCACTGCATGCTACTGGTCAAGAAAGCTACCAACTGATTAAAGGGGAAGATAAGATTCAACATCTTAGTGGCATGAGTAGTAAAATATTTTGCAACAGTATAATATTAGCAAAATAAATTACCATATCAAATCCTATAGTAATAGTTTGGGATCAGGCTATGGGCCAGAAGCTACAACTCAATACTTTGATAAAGGGTCTTGAGATAGTAGGTGATTGCTTAAAGGAGAGTAATGAAAATGTTACTGGAGGTTGGAGAAAAGATAATTTGTATTATGTAATGGTAGAATTTTTGTGAAATTAATGCTTGGGACAATGAAGAAAATATCTAATAAATTATCATTTATTTATGTGAAATTATAAACAAATAAGGAAATTTCCAGGCTGCATGTCAAAAGTGCCAACTAGTTGTTTTTACTTCTACGTGAGAAGAACAGAAAGTGATGAGCTAAAACTTGTTTTCAAGCAGAATTTATAGGAAGTAAAAAGGAATCAATATTTTCTGGGTTTGAAAGTAAAAATGCTTTTCATCACCAGTCTCTCCATAGGGCAAAAAGCTCTCAAAGCAAGAAATGGCCTGAGTGCAAAGACCAACTTCAGAGTTTGGGTGTAAGGCCCTCTGTTAAGACTTCAGAAAAATTTAAGGTGGTACCTCATAGAATCTCTCAGTTAAAGAAAAGTGCCTCTAAAATTTTACAGCCATGTATCATAGACCCTCAGCTAAAACAACAGTGCTTCGAGGAGTCTAAAAGTATTGAAACCAAAGGTGACCCAGAGTTGGCAACAGTTTCTCTAAGAAGTACATGTGAGAGCAGTACATCCAGTGTGTTTGATTATAAATTAATACAGTAAGAAACCTACAAAGTTTTTATAAGGAATTGTACCAGTTTGGAAGGAAAAAACAACAGCACAAAGACCTCCAATCTTCTATGGGCAGGAAGGAAGCTAAGAATGTTCTAGCTGCAAACACAGCCTATTTCTTATAGAAAAAAGGATAACTCAAAGATTGGAATGAAAAGCCCAAAAAGAAGGACAAAGGACCATGGAAAATCATTCCCAGGGAGCTCAACAGGGCCCTAATCAAGGAAATGGTAAAATGTGACTGGTTGGATTTCAGAATTGCAATAGGCTTATGACTACAAAAGGCCTGCACTTTTCCGTCTTTTTTAAACAGGAATGTGTAGTATGATTATCCTCTCTCTCCTCCCACCATCATGTGTCGGATATGTGGGCTAGGTCATTTTTATCTTCAGGACACAGCTCTTCTGATAGAAAGAAGTTATACTCCAGAGCTGATCTGAAGTACCATATCCAAGAATCCTTACCTGCACCTACACTTGACTTGTATAACAAGATCGTGGGCCTCACAATTATACCATAATTGCATGAGAATTTGAAAACTATCGGAAGGCATGTAGGATATTTTGTGGCCAGAAAGTAGTCGGTAATAGATTAAAGAAGCCAAAAATTCTTGGCTACCCCTGTCATTGAGAGATGAAATTTCTCAGCCTTCTATACATGTGCTGCCCGAGTTACTTGATTGACTAATAGAATGTGGCAGAAGTGATGTCCTGGGACTTCTAATGTTAGGTCTTAAGAAACCTTGCAAGCATCTTGCCAGGTCTTGTGGAGCCCTAAGCTACCGTGTTAAAAGATTACTCTGCAGCAATAATGTTGACACTATGCATGCATTCTGAATTACAGTCCCATCTGAGTTCTGTCTTCCAGCCATCCCACAACATAATGAAATATAAAGGAAAGCCTGTTTTTTATAAGCTACCGTCCATTATGCAGCACAGATAACTATTATATGAAGTATTTTTGTGCTACATTCTTAGCTCTATGTGCTAGAATACCCACTGAGAATACTAGGATATGTGATTGGACATACCCAAAATAAAATTTTAACAAACTGAGTATCTTAAGTTATATTACTGGCAATGACCACATAGTTGATATACAATATGTGTTCATCTAACAAGAGAAAATTAGGATATTTATTGAATAAAGGAAAACAATAGAAAGTTACAATTAAGATATGTGCATGTTAAATTGAAATCTTACTAAAATTGTGTACTTTTTTATCTGAGTTTAGTGTATTTAATGCTTATAAAAATGTTGATTTAAAATGACAACACCAACCATAGAGCCAAAAAAAATTATATTTTTTGGTGTACCCATCTTGTAGGGAATATGAAGTTACATAAAGCTAAAGAATAGAAATACATGGATTAATTGCTAACCTGGCATTTCTTCTGTCTTGGCATACTGTTTGAATCGAGCAGCACTTTGACCAAATGGAGCATTTTTCAGTCCTAGTGTTTTCTTCAAGGACTTGAAAGCAGTTCGAGATTCATTATATGTGCCAGGAGCCGGGGTGATTGATTTTATAGGCACAAATCTCTAGTGAAGAATGGGAAAATATGCCAATGAGGAGTTATAGTACATTTAGATACTTCATGAGTTAAAAGCTGCCTTCTTAGTATTACAACATCTGGAAAAATTTATTTCTTAATGGAGTGAAGAAAATATAAATGAATTAAGATCTTATACCTATCAAAACCTATAAAATATACAGCTTTTAGTAAAATCATCTATATATTAATACAGTAATGCATTATGTACTTTACTAAGCCAGATAGACTTTTCAGAGGAAGTCATCTCAATATGAGATTCTAGATGATAGTGTAAGGACAATCTTCACATTTAAAATATTCTACAAGATAGTAAATTTTAAAAGCTATATAATCTAGGAGGGGAGTTAAAGATGGTGGTGTAGGAAAACCCTGAATATACTGCCTCCCACAAACACAACAAATATTCAGCAACATATGGAAAAATTTTCCTCTGAAAAGGACTGGAGAACTAGATGAACAGCACCTCCACAACAAAAGACAAAAGAGACCTCATCAAAAAGGGTAGGAAAGGCAGAGATAGGGCCTCACCTGTGACCCACAATCAGAGGGATTTCAAAAATACATAACTCTTCCTCCAGGAGTGAAGGGATTATGCCCACATCAGGCACCTCAACCCTAGGGGCTGGGACCAGAAAGATGAGCCGCCAAAATGTCTGGTTTTTAAAATCAACAGGGATTACGATCAGGAAAATTATATGACTAGAGGGACTAGATATCTCATTCCTAAAGGGCTCATGTGTAAATCACTCACTCTGAGATCCAGTGCAAAAGCAACAGATTGAAACGTGCCTAGACAATAGGCAAGGAGACTCACTTATTAATTTTACAACAGCTGCTAGAGAGGCAAGAAGTTTGAGGGACTTTATTGAGGCTCAGAAGTGCTGGTAGATGCCATTTTTACAATCTCATACTAACTTACCGGTGACAGGACCACCAGGCACCCTTTCGGCCCCATCCCTCCAGCTTGCTATAGTACCACGGTGCATGCTCTGTCCACCCCACCCTATAACCAGGCTGGACTAGCATCCCATGCCCTCCCACACTGTGCAGCACCCAGGCCACAACAGCACCAAGCAAGCTCCCTGAATTCTGCCTGATCCACACAGAGACCCAGCCATAACTGGTACAGGTGAGTGCCCCAAGCACCACCCTATGCAGGCAGTGGTGGAGCCAGCCACAACAGGGAGGACTAAGCACACTGAGCCCCTCTCTCCTTACACAGAAGCCATGGCCCTCCCACAACCAGCAGCACCTGCAGTCCACATAAGAGACAAGCATGGAGTGCCTGCCTTGTGGCCAGGGGACATTTCATTTCTGGGCCACATGGAACAGCTCCCACACAAGACAACTTCTTCAAGACTGAGGGACACAGCCGTTTTATCTAACACATATAGACAAACTCAGAGAGACAGGAAAAATGAGGAAATGGACGAATATGTCCTAAACTAAAGAACACGGCAAATCCCCAGAAAAAGACCTTCGTGAAATGGAAATAAGCAACCTACCTGATAAAGGGTTCAAAGTAATAGTTATAAAAATGCTCACCAATCTCAGGACAAGAATGTATGTATACAGTGAGAACTTAAACAAGAAATAGAAAATATAAGATAATACCAAAAAGAAGTTATAACTGAACTTTAAAAATATACTAAAGGAATTCAACAGCAGAATGGATTAAATAGAAGCATGACTCAGTGAGCTAGAAGACAAAGCAATGGAAAACACCCACGCAGAGCAGCAAAATGAAAAAAGGATTAAAAGAAGTGAGGATACCTTACACAGCCTCTGGGACAATATCAAGTAGGATAATACTCATATTATTGGGGCCCCAGAAAGAAAAAAAGAGAGAAATGGCCAGAAAAAGTATTTGAAGAGATAATGGCTGAAAACTTCCCTAATCTGGAGAAGGAAACAGACATCCAGATTCAAAAGCCCAAATAAGAAGAACCCAAGAAGAAATATACCACACACATTATAATTAAAATGGTAAAAGTTAAGGAAAAATAGAGTATCTTAAAAGCAGCAAGAGAAAAGCAACATATTATGTACAAGGAAACCACATACGGCAGATGTTTTTTTAACAGAAACTTTACAAGCCAGAAGGGAGTGGCATGAATATATATACAAAGTACTGGAAGGATAGACAGACTGCCAACCTAGAATTCTCTACCCAACAATGTTATCATTCAGAATTAAAAGAGATTAAGAGTTTTGCAGATAAGCAAAAACTAAAGGAGTTCATGACTATTAACCCAGCCTTACAAAGGAAGTATTAAAGGGACTTCTCAAACCTAAAAAGAAAAGGCACTAATTAATAATAAGAAAACATATGAAATAAAAAAATCTCACTGTTAAAGGTATATAAATAATAAAAGTAATGAATCAGCACTTATAAAGCAATATGAGGGAAAAGATGAAAATAGTAATACTAACTTAAAATTCATTAGTTAAAAGATACATAAAATAAAAAGAGGTAAAATGTGTCTTCAAAAATATAAAAGTTGTACAGAGAAGTAAAAATGTAAAGATTGGGAATGTTATTATCACCTCATATGTGTCAGAAGGGCTATTATCAAAAAGACAATAAATAACAAGTATTGGTGGAGATAAAACAAAGATGTTGAGAAAAGGGAACCCTCAAGCACTGATAGGGGGAATGTAAATTGGTACAACTACTATGGAAAACAGTGGTTCCTCAAAAAATTAAAAATAGAACTATCATATGATTAGGCAATGTCATTTCTGGGTATTTATTCAAAGAAAACTAAAATATTAATTCAAAAAGATACATACACCCCATTATCACTGCAGCATTGTTTACAATAGCCAAGATATGGAAGCAACCTAAGTATCCATCAATAGATTAATAAAGAAATTGTGACATATACATATATACACACACACACGTATACATTCATACATATATACACAATGGAATATTAGTCAAAAAAAGAATGAAATCTAGCCATTTACAACAACATGAATATACCTAGAGAGTACTATGCTGAGTGAAATAAGTCAGTCAGGGAAAGACAAATACAGTGTGATTTTACTTATATGTAGAATCTAAAAAAACAAATTATCAAAACAAAACAGACACAGACTCAGATACAGAGAATAAACTAGTGGTGTGAGAAGAGAGGCTGTGGGAATATAGGTGAAATAAGTATAGAGGATTAAGAGGTAGAAAATTCCAGTTATGAAATAAATAAGTCACAAGAATGTAATGTACAGCACAGGGAATATAGTCAATAACATGGTAATAACTTTGTATTGTGATAGATGGTAACAAGACCTAACATGGTAATAACTTTGTATGGTGATAGATGGTAACAAGACCTAACATGGTGATCATTTAGCTATGTAAACAAATATCAAATCATAATGTTGTACATGTGAAACTAATATCATATTGCATGTCAATATAATTCAATAAAAATACTCTATGATCTAACATGACTTCTTTTATATAATGAAACTACACAAATTAACAGTTTCTCAACATTCAATTAAGTCAACAAATATCATTAACTACCCTAAGGAAAAAAAACATATTCAAGTGGTATATAAATCCAGTTTAGTGAAACTTATACATTTATAACACATTTAGTTATTACAAATTTATAATATTTAACATTAAATATGTGTATCTATATGTATAACTATGGACTATTATGAAATATAGTGTTGCATAATCATATTTTTTAATTTTTCATTTGGAATTAATTCTCACTATTTGCTTTTTTTTTTGCCCATTCTCCATGTTTCTGTCTCTTTGTCTCTGTATGTCTATTCCTTCCTTTCTGTGTCTATTTCTCTACACACATACACACACACACATGCATGTGTATATATATATATAGAGAGAGAGAACCATTTAATAGAAAGTGAATATGTCATAGCTTTTTACCCCTAGTTTGGTGTGCATTTACTAAGAATAGGGATATTTTCTTACAAATCCATAGCATACTTATACTTCAGAAAACGTATCAATGATACAATACTTTTATCTAATCCACCATTCATATTCTAAATCTGTCAGTTGATCTAACTGCCTGTGTTGCATTTTTTTCCTCCAGGACATAATCTAGTATAGGGTCAGATATTCCTTTCAGCTTCCTTAAATGTAGGAACATTTCCACAGCCTTCCTTTGAGTTTTGTAACTTTGGAAAAATATAGCAATACTTCCGCCACTTTTATATGATAGAATCTTTGTTGGTGCTTTTCTGATGCTTTCATAATTATATCCAGGTTATACATTTCCAGAAAAAAATACCAAAAAGGTGGTGGTGTGGCTTTCCCAGTGTATCATATCTGGAGCCACATGATGTCCTCTCGACCTCACTAGTGATTTTAATTTTGATCAAATCCAATACTCCCTCTATATTTATCAATAAGCACTAAGCATTCTAATACAAACAAGGACCATCCCTTCACCCCCAATTATTTGTTTCATTAATCTATCTACTTAATTATCTATTTATCATCAACATGGACTCATGAATACCAGTTTTAATGATTTATAGTTAATCACTGTGTTTTTTATCAGTAGGAGGCCCTTCAAGTTGGTTCATATGTCTCTAAGATAAGCTATCATCTTTTCTTTAGACCTTTCCATTTTCTGACACAACAGTGTGTTGCAGGTTCATTTCTACCTATTCTGCTCAATCCCTAATTCCTGGATCATTCAACAGCAGAGTTAAGATATATAAACATATACACACACCTATATACACACATACACATACACATAGACAGATACCTCAATAGATACACTCTATATCTATATATAGATTAGAAATTATGAGTTCACATCAAAACCTCAAATTCAGATCTGTCACATGAGATCCTTTCTAACTTCCCCTAATTCATGTTTATATATAACTTCTCCCACAGTGAGAACTCTGGCTCTTAATATTAATTTCTATGCTCAACTCTGTAATACATTTAAAACAGTTCCATGATTGCTTCAGCCATATCATTAC